AATATAATAATATAATAATAATAATAATAATAATAATCATAATAAATAATAATAATAATAAAATAATAACAACAATAATAATAATACAATAACAACAGTAATAATTTTTATAATAAATAATAATTAATAATAATGACAATAACAATAATAAAACAAAAAAGATTCAGGAAAGAGCATCCTAAAATATATATATATCAAAGTTTCCCAAAAGCATCAATACATAAAAATAAAAGCAAAAATTGCAAAAAAAAAAAAAGAGATTGACTATGCAAACATTACAGCTCATCCACAGATGAGCTGTAATAAGTTATAATGAGGAAAATCAGGATAAGGAGAAGTTGGTTCATGATGCCAAATGAACAATATTAACCCACTAACAACGAGTGTCACACATGTGAGACACCCAAAAAAGTAAACAGTGTGACACTGTATCGGGGCTCACGCTCCAACGCAGCAGTGGGCCATGGCCACCCAGAATCTTTTATTTATGGCTTCAAAATATACCGGCGTTAATGGGTTAACAAAAAAGGTGAATATTCAATCTTAGCATATCAGATATTGAATTCATAATCATGACATGTTCACTGTAAGGACCACCAAAAAATACCTACTATCTCACAGTAATATACTGCATAAGCTTCATTAATGAATGAAATTGGTGAATTTTGGGCATTACCAAATATGTTGCCTTTCATAGCTATATTTCTAATTCAATCAAATCAAGGACAGCTATTGAGTGCCAATTTACCCAATCACACTGGGTGGCATCTATTCTTGCCATGATACAGAGCCTGTATCTATGCTTTGTGCAGTTGAGAATAATTTATGTTGTTCATGCTAAATATATTTTTTGCTTGTTTGGCCTTGGCAGAAGACTGGTAAGTAGGCTTAAAACCTCTTAGAAGCCTAATGAAAGATCATATATACTGCAGTCAAAATCATAGAGCACAAAAAACATGTTTTCTGTTTTTATACATTGTCACCTGAGCTGCACCCGATACATAGCTCATATGGCAGCTAAAACCCATTGTTACAGAGTCCAAGGCTAACAATCATCATAATATCTAGCCAAGCTGCTAAAGGAAGACAGAAAATACATATATATATACATATACATATACATATATATTATATATAATATATATATATATATATATATATATATATATATATATATATATATATATATATATATATATATATATATATATATATATATATATATATATATATATATAGTATATATATATATATATATATATATATATATATATATATATATATATATATATATATATATATATATATATATATATATATATATATATATATATATATATATATATATATATATATATATATATATATATATATATATATATATATATATTATATATATATATATATATATATATATATATATATATATATATATATATATATATATATATAATATATATATTATATTATATATATATATATATATTATATATATATATATATATATATATATATATATATATATATATATATATATATATATATATATATATATATATATATATATATATATATATATATATATATATATATATATATATAATATATATATATATATATATATATATATATATATTATATATATATATATATATATATATATATATATATATATATATATATATATATATATATATATATATATATATATATATATATATATATATATATACATATATAAATATATATATATACATATATATATATATATATGTGCAAATATGTCCTAATATATATAACCATCATATGAAAAAATCCTGTTGGAGAAGTAATCAGAAAAAAAGTAAATAAATATAATCTGTGCTATGAAATAGTCATAATTCTTATAACCAACTTGAGTTTCATCTTGTTATCAAAATGATAACCTTTTCTTCTTAAAGAATTAGAAAGAAAGGGAGAAAAAAGGGTGTATGTTAGATAAAAAAACTAAACAAGAAATTTGTTAAAGACTACTTTTTTATACAATTTTAATCCCTTTTCTAGGTAAATGATACATTCCTTCCTTTATAAATAATTCTAAAACATTATATGCACTAAGAACAGTTAACTTAAAGCGTAATATCAACTGACAAACTTGTCCTAAGAAAAATTAAAATATTAAAGCACAAAATCTTTTCAGACACATCTACCACACATACACCATTGGATAGAATGGCTCCTTGCCCACCACTGGCATGTAAGTAAAGGAGGCCAGGAGTATGCTTGCTCCAATCCACACAAGACGCATGGACTTCTCTACCACACCCTGCATGGAGTACATGATCACAGGCCAAAGTCCTATGCATATAAGACCCACAGACAGAAATGGTCTGACAAAGAAGGCCATCACCTGAAAATATATAAGAAACCTGTAATGACAAAGCCAAAATATGAACTGAAAACAATCATGTTAGTTTATATGTAATGACCTACTCTAATATAAAAAAAACATTCACACA